TCTCGGCCCGGCACCGGGGCTCGGCCCCTCGTCGCCTCCACAGACGGCCCCACCGCCGCGCTGCCCTCGCCGGGGGATGACCCTCCCGCTGGCGCCCCGCATGCTGCCCCTGGGCGCCTGGCGACCCGCCCCGTTTCTCCTCGGGCATCGGTTCATACCTCTTAAGTTATTTCTCCTTTTAATTTTTTCTTCTGAAGGGTGATGGTAGTTTTTTTCCCCTGTCTTCTGCGCTGAAATCTCAAGTTTTCTGTTAAGCACAGGTGTCTTTCATGAATTCTTTTGTATTCTTCCCCAGTGGAAAGTAAACATGCGTGCTGCAAAACCTTGCAAGCTTACATTGGCATGGTGCTTTGTTACATGTGGGTTTTTTATTAGATGAATATTTAATCCTCGAGCTGGTAAGTTTGCTTTGCTCTTTTGGAGTGGAAGAACTTGATAGATGCTTATGTGAAGGCATCTGTATAAAGGCTGTTTATAGGTTTGCTTCTTTACCCAGCCCTTTCATACAGGCAGTATGTTCTCTCAAGTGTTCTGGCATCACAAGTATTTTAAGTGTGGCTGTTTTGATCTTGACTTAAAATGATTTCTCATATGAATGAACCTGAGCCATCTCCAATTAATGCTGAGAGGCAGAGAGAGAAATTAACCAAAACACTAACAAAAGAGAAGGGTGTAAGTAGTAGTGAGAAGCAGCTTTTACTGAGATATTGGTCAGTTTTGTAAAGGAACTCACATTCGTTATATAAAAGTGGTTGCCCAAGTTACAGCTGTGTGATCACACGTTTTTTTCCTGTGTAAAGTCAGTAGAAGTAGAGATAACTTACTATTCCTCTCTCCTAGTATTTATAGACTTACTGTGCACAATTGTTTAGGTAGGGGTTGCTACCTTCAAAATGTTGTCTTCCTTGCAAACGGACACAGGGCTCTTTTTATGCCCTGTCTTTATCACTGAGGAAACTTCATCTTTGCTTTCCCTGCAATTATATTAGTCACAAGTACTTTTTTTTTTTTTTACTTTTGTGTTAACCTTGCAGCTTTTTAACTTGTGCAAGATAGTTAAGTAAATGAAAGCGTGTGTGCATGTTTACTTTTATAAAATGCTCATATTGCAATGGAGTAATTGCCGCTTAATTTACAGCTGTCATGAGTGGCACAAATATGGCTTGTGATCTCGGGGCAGCAAAACTGGGTTTTGTCCTCAAACTGGATGCTTTTGCCATAGGTGGGCCAGGTCTGTGGGGTGCTCTTGGGATGCAGTGCAGATGCAGTGGCCTTGGGAGATGACGATGTGTGGCTTTGCTGCCTGTCTGGCTGCTGCTGGTGCTCCAGAATCAGAAGTGAGCACTGATACGGAAACGTGGATTGACCTTCATTTTAGTATCTCTTACTGTATAATCTTCCGGGACTAAAAATACACCAAGCGACTAGTATGCTCTAATAAGCACAACTAATGCCTCTGCTCTGCCACGGGGAAGTCGGTCACAGAGCATTGGTTACACGCGTGCTGTGGTGACTTGATTTCTTGAAGATGCAAAGCATGCACAGCTCCTCTGGTTTCGCCTGTGGAAACCTGAGTACTGCTGCGCAGTGTTATCATGCTTGTTAATCTCCAGTGCTTTTTATAGTGTTCCTGTCTAAGTTTACTAAATCTCTGCAGGTAGTTGGATGAAATCAACAGGTTATTATTAATTTCAAGTACTTTTGAATTTCTGAAATCTTAAACTTTGAATGGCATAATGTTTCAGTAACCTGGAGCCATAATTTCTGTAGATAAAGCTTCAAGAAGCCTAGAGCTTGGCAAAGGTCCAGTTGCATGTATACGTTATAAGGGATAGTCTCACTTTCCTATGTAAGTTTTACAAAAGGTCCCTGTTAGGAGTTCAGCTAATAAAGTGGTTATCTTAAGGTTGTTTAGCCAATAGCTTCACGTGAAGTTTGTTCTGCAGCGTGGTCTGCTGTAGTAAAGTACTAAGGAGTGTCTGTTTATTTAAGTACACAACTTGACTCGAAGCTGTGCTAATCGTCTGAGGGTTTGTGAGTGAAACTGTTAGAAAGGTGCAGGTTATGATGTTACTCATACTTTTTCACTCCCCCTGCGGTTTCATTTTCCTAAGTACCACCAAACAACACATGAATTGAGCTGCCTGCCCATGAGGAAGGGTCTGAGCAGGACATGCAGATGAAGAAATGAACTAAGTAATGTAGTGACTTAGAGCCTAGAGGGGCACTGGCAGCTAGAAATGGGTTTGGGGTTTCCTGACTTTATTACGCTAACAGTACAACTTTGATACCAGATGTGTTTTGTGCATCATAAATTAAATCTATTAGGTCATTGAGGTCAGTGTCTAATGCTGCCTGCTTAAAAATGAGTAGGTCATTCACAAATAAGAACTCCTACTCAGTAGAGCTACGGATATTATTGTATTTTTGTTTCGGTTTGTTTTTTTTTGTGATGGTTGACTTTTATCTGCTTGGCTGAATGGGGCTGGCTTCTGCAAGACTTACAGGATACCTAGGAAGATGCATGTATATTCTCAGTGCCCATTTTCTGTTTTTCCGTCATGCTTCCCATCCTTTGGCCTGTCCTCTTGTGTCCGTGACAAGGCAGTGGATAACTTGCAGGGCACCCTTCTGTAATTCACGCAATCGCTCCTACCAGTGTTCTGGTTTTTGGTGTTCAGTTGGTTCTTCCCATAGCTGTAATTGCTGAATACAGCTGCCCCTGTCTGATTTAAAAAAGTGTAATGTTATAAGATAGTTACCAGGGAAGTTTTGATGCTATAGTTATGTGTTATAGTTATGTCTAACACACCTTCTATTTCAAATGTGTTTTTCCTCAACTTTAATTCAGATTCCATGCTAGTTTCCATTGTTGGAATGGCACTCTACACGGGCTATGTGTTCATGCCTCAGCACATCATGGCAATATTGCACTACTTTGAAATTGTGCAGTGATGAAGAACGTATTTTCAAGAAGTAATCCGGCTTTGAAATCTGGTCTACAAAGAAGAATGAACCTCTCAGTTTTAACAAGACTTCTACCAATGTCGGAAAGACACAATTATGACTCTGAAGACTAGGAAACAAGATATGTAGAGCAGGGACGTGACATGTCCCCTGTGTTGTGTTCATTCCTTTTAATTTTACAAGATATGCCCTTGTATAGTAGTTTTGTCTACTTTAACATTGTGATTGTACTTTGATATCAGTATTTTCTTAACTTTGTGACAGTTTCAATATTGCACTGTGAAAGCTTTTCTTAATTGTAATTTTGAGTAAATCTTAATTGCCTTCTATTTTTAATCGGAAAGTCATCTTATTAAATGGGGCTTAAAGCTTTTGCTATTGTATGGTATGTATTTGCCTGGATATTTCTATTAATGCGTTTTGTAAGAAAATACATCTAGATTCATATTAGAGACGTGGATATATTCATCTAACGCTATTTACAAAAGTTAGTTTGTATGACTGAACTCAGGTGCACTGTTTGCTGTCCAAACTTTGTTCAACAGTATATTTGTGCATATCGCCTAAATTTGGAATTGGCAATTATTTCAAGTTTCTCTATTCCACCTGTTGGAGGAGGGGGGGGGAGATGAGGCGTCGAGGCAGAGCAAAGGCCGCATTCGTTATGTTTGGAGTAGTGCTGTGGTTCTGGGCTTTATCTTGTTGCGGGGGAAAGGACTTTTCTTTACTGACATAGCCCCATGTAAGGGTTTGGGATAGCACTTTAAATCAACCCTGTTTTTCTAGCTACCAATTCAATTGTACTTTTACAGGATGCTTTATTATGTTCCCTATGGTTATGGTTTCTGCTAATTTTCACTCAACAGTGTAACTATGTCTAGGTTTTAACGGGGTTTTCTATTGCTGCTAGTGTTCCAAACATGTTCTTGCTACAACCAACCAAAACATAGGGGTTTAAGTGGACTTGAGTTACAACTACAGCAATAAGTAGCTGAATACTTGGCTGAAGTCCTGTCTTTTTTTTTTTTTTATAGGGATTTTTTTCAGTTTTGTATTCTGAAATGTAAGATGGTGACAACTTAACTTTCCTAAGTGCAGGATTTTTTTTGTTGTTGTTTAAAAAATAAAAGTTTTAAAGCAGAGCTTTGATGCAAAACTTTCTTTGAGAAGTTAATGTGTTTCTGAATGCTGCTTGCTTTTCTCAGAGCTTTCTAAAAGGGGAAAAATGATGCTTGGCTAAAGAATTGGGGTTTTTTAATGGCCCAGTAGTAATACGTACTATTATATCTTTTATGCAGCTTTTATTGAAATCAGGATAGTTGTATAACTGAAGCGTTCTATAAAGATACTGTCTTTTAGGTTTAATTTTCTCAAATGCACACTCATGAGCATAAAGTGTTGGTTTTGGTTTTATTTTTTCCCTTGTATTTAAGAACTTCATGTGTGAGTTGATTAAAAACTCTATTAGTCATCTTGGGAGCTATAAACAGTGGGCCTTAAACTTCTTAGGTGATCCCTTGTTTGACTGAAGTTGGTAGGAGTCTCCCCCTAAATTAGTGCCTTCACTTATTAATAACTGGATATCTAAACATAGGTAGGGATTTGGGGTGGTGTGTTGTTTTTTTTTTAATGTATCCAGAGTTGTATATGACAACTTTAAGTATATAAGGAGATAACGGTAAGTTCACATACTCTTTGAAGTAACGTAGCATAAATTCCTGCTATTCGTGGATTAAATTGGTACTGTGATGTTTCTTTGCGAACTATTGCCGTGATTGGTACACATCTACTGCTGAGAAAGGGGTTTAGTTGTATGGGGTATGTAGGGGGGAAGCCCTTCCGTGCGGTGGAATTAGGAATCTTAAGCACAATTTTTAATTGTGAAAGGTTTTATAAAAGGGGTTTGATATACCATCTTCTGTTAGCTGTCTGCTTCTTGTTGAGGAAAAAAAGAGTAACCATAATCTCCAGTCACTTGGGTTATGTTGGAGTGGGCTTGATCGATATCATACTTGAATTCAATTTGCTAATTTGAGTACAGTCATTTTCAGCATTTCCTTTTTTTTAATTATAAATCAAGAATCTCATAGTCTTGGACTGCTCTTTTAGATTCCAGATACTTTGTTAAAGATGGAATAATTTAATTAATAAAATACTATATGTTACTAGAGTTCGAATTTCTAGAATAAAGTTTCTACAACATGTCCTTTTCATAAAGTTGATCTAGTGAAGAGATGGTTCAAGGGGTGATAATGATGAAGCAGAGTAGGTTTTCTTTTTTGAAGTGAGGGTATTGGTAGGGATTTAATTAATCACTGAATTTGAATAATAAATGAATCATAAGGCTACCAAGTTGTTTCCCCACTGCAGTCTGCTTTATTGTCCTGTTAGTTGGGGGATCTGATATACCCTCCTTGTGACAGAACCATAAGCATTTTCTGTGCAAGCTGGAGGTCGAAGGCGATTTAAATACCATTTGGAGGCAGCTGGTCCATTATGCTTCTGTTTAAACAGGGCGATAATAATCGAGCCATCAGCAATGTAGATAAAGTTGGAAAAACTAATTGTGAGAAATGAGATGGGGGGGGGGAAACAAAACCTGAGCGCCCTGCAAGTGGCTTTATGTTAGTCTTTTAATAGTAATAGCTCTTGGGGTTTAGATTGAGTCATCAGAAATAAGCATTTAAAAATGCATTAAGTGTGTTTAATGCAGAACTGATAGTACCAGCTCCATCAGGCAGCTCCTGCCTGAGGCTGGCCAAAGGTGTGTCGCGGCATCCCGCCCAGCCCGGGTGGCATGGCTTGCTCTGCTGGTCGCCCTGGCAGGAGCCCACGTAGCCTGCGGCCGTGGTGGCTTCCAGAGCCAGCTCTGCAGAGGCACCTCGGCTAACAGGAGGGTTGGGTGCTGTAGCAATGATCATTACAAGCCTTTGCAGTAGGAGCTGCCGTAACCAAAAGAAGAAACCAAGGCACAATGTTGAAGAAAGCCAGGCTAGAGCCTGAAACGGATCTGGGATGCGTGTCTATGCACGTCCTGGATCAGTTATATTTTTTTGAGATATGTATTACTTATATATATAAACACACACATATAAACTGTTTGTTTCTTGTCAGAAATTATTACGTAGCAACTAGTTTAGATATGAAGGCTGGTTTTTTTTTTTGTTTTTTTTTTTCCTGGTTTCTTAACTACCCTGTGAAAGAAAACACCGGAGAATCGTAAGGTGAGACTTCCTTGGCAAAATTTAGCAAGAAAATAACTTGTGCATTTGCATGAATACTCAATATTAAAAAGAAATAGATGTGAAAGGAGCATAGTGCTGTAAAGGTGAATTTTGTGTGATAGATGTGCATTGTATTACTGCAAATTAGTACGATGCGAAGTGTTGTCCCGTTTCATTCAGGTGCAGTAATGAAGTGTGCATTATAAATACTGTTGGCTAACAACAAATAAAGGTTATATTTTGGTGAAGAGATGCAACTTAAGAGATCTGGTACCATGGGATTAGTGGGTTGCGCACAAGGCTGCGGAGAGAGCAGCCATCCTCTGAAATCCCAGAGCAGCGTACTCTGGAGTTTTGACCCCAGTAGAGGTTTCCAGTGCCAGAGGTTCTTTTTGCCTTCTGATTTCCCCGTGTTTTCTACAACTGCTATTGTAGGAAAACAGTTTCTTCCCCTCTTGCTGACATGTTATCCTGACACCAGTTTTTTGGTGGTGGTGGTGGCTTTTTTTTTTTTTAAAGACAAAAGCATGAAGCTTTCCGTGTGGTTTGCATTGTTTCTCTGTTTGATCTGCTAGGTCAGCCTTAAACAGCAGTCATCACTGAGCACAATAGCTGCTGTCTTTTCTGCCTTTTTGTTTGTGTAATGATGGTTTAAGGAGAAAATCTGGCATCATAGTCCAGAGCTGGATCCAACTCCCTGTCCGTGTCATGGGGAAAGATGAAATTCTAGATCTGATCCAGATCCCAGTGTGGGATTTCAGCAGAAACCCCTCTGCTTTTCGTGGTATACCTTCAGTGTATCATCACAAGATCCTCAGTCCATCTAAACTGTCATTGCATGATTGAAGACTAAGAAATTGTGACTATCCATCCGCTGTCCCTGAGAGTTTAGCTGGATAAGAGTTGAACAGGCCTTGAGGTAAACCTGATTCAAAGGCTCACCCGATTTCTAAAGTATAATTAAAGTTGAGCTTTTTCTTCACAATAATTTTGCAATGGCAGCAGCTGTCCATCTCGAATGTTATGAGTACTTACAGTTATATAAAATGGGGAATTACGTTTCGCAATACCTGATCGCTACATGTTTAACACAGCGTAGAAAAGCTGGAAGGTGGCCTTGGCTGGAAGTCACGCTGTGCCGAGGTGGTGGTGCTGCTGCACCACCACACAGTGCTCTGTGGGTTCACTGAGCCATCCAGCATCTACGCTTGACAGGATTCGGCTTATTTGTGGGTGGACTTCTTGTTTTAGTAAAAAACAAAACAAACAAAACCCAAACAAAAAAAACCCACCCACCCAACCAAACAAAAAAAAACCTCAAGCCCCCAAACCAAACTAACTTTAAGGTGCTGGCTAGCACTTTATTTTGTAGGTAGTACTGCTTATTTTAATAGTGAATAAGATGATGACATACGTGTACGATTTAGAAGCTGCACCTGGTTATAGATCAGGTATTTAGACTTCATAATATGCATGTACAGAAGCATGCTTTATTTTGGAAAGAGCCCTGTCAAGTATCAGAAGCTCTTGTTTTACACTTACAACAGTTCCCTGTGTTTTGCTGCTGCTAAGATTTGTGGCCCCAGAAGCATATAACTCCTTGGCAATTTTGGAGTCTGTTAAAGAGATTGCACTTTCCTGTGTGGCGAAGACCCTCTGTTAATGGCATTCTTCATTCTGGAGGAATTTTAAAGTCAGTTACAGCGATTCGAATCTAAAATTGGTTCATTATGTAAAATCACAGGGAAGGTGCGTACAGTGCGA